CTCGGGAGCTGGCTGCTCATCGGGGGCCGCGGCTCCGCCTCGTAGAAGTCGGCTGACTCCATCGGGGAGCTAGAGGCCTCCCGGCATGGCGAGCCTCTGCGGCCTCCAGCCAGCGCGGGGCGCCGCTACCGCAGCCGCCCACCCGGAGTCCTGGTCGCTCGCTCGCGCCCGCGCTTCCCCAGATCGTGACTGGCCAGGCCCGAGGGAGGCCCGCATTTATACCGAGGCGGCAGTCGCCCTCTAGGAGGCGAGAGCGGCGCCTCCTGGGTCTTAGCGCCGGACCGCAGCGGGCGGCGAGCGGGGCCTGAACGCCGCGTTGGGGAGGAAAGGTTGCCATGCAACGCCCACCGCCCCCTGGGCCCGCAGCCAACCCGTTACGGGCGCGCTGTGCCGGACTCCGGACCCTGCTGTCACCCACCCCCGCGCACACGTGGTTGATAGCGGGCGCCCCCTCTCCAAGGCACCCACTTCCAGCCAACGGCCGGCGAGCCTGGGAGCGCCCAGAGGCCGCGCGCGGTTGCGGGGTGGTGGGGAATAGTGGAGGGTGACTGTCGGTCTCTGGGCTACTGAGGCGCCAGAGTGACCTGGGAGGAGGTGGCACGGAGCCGGGTGTGGGCAGGGGGACTGTTGGGGACGTACCGCCCGGCTTAGCTCGCGGCGGGGAGGCCGGAGGAAGCGGGCCAGGGAGCGGCGGCTGCGCCTTCTCTCTCGGACCTCGGGGCCCACCGATTCCGCGTGGGATCCCCGCGGCCCGCTTCACCTCTCGGGGGACGCCAGGGTCCCAACATCCTCGGCACAGGGCTCTAGGACCCCGCAGGGCGAGCGGAGGGGAGGACAGTGGGGGCGGCCGCCGCCGGGACCCGGGGAGATCGGGTCTGCGGATCCGCCAGAGCTGGAAACGTTTTTCTCGCGAATCCCTTTTTCCAGGCCCTGCGCGAGGGTGGGCTGGCTGTGCTGCCATCGATTTCCTGCGAGCCGGCCGGGCAGCGTCACCCGGCAGGCAGACCCGGCTGGGGTGCGAACTGGACTCCGCCGAGACAGCCGGCCCGAGGCGGAGCAAAGGGAAGGCGGACCGGCGCCCGGCAGAGCCGAGGGTCGGCGGCGTGCGCAGCCAGGGTTTTCTACTCCCGCTTCCCATTCGGGTGGGCACCGACGGCGGCGGCAGCCGGGGCGTCGAGGACGCTGGGGCCCGGAGTCCCCGTGCCCGTGCCCCCAAGTCTGAGCTCTCACTGGGAGACCTCTGCCGGGCGGACTTTGCGGTGCAGGCGCTGGGTCCCGGGGATCTGGGGTTGGGGTAGTGGAGGCGCACGGCGGACAGGCCCGGGTGCCTCTTAGCCTCCTCGCAGCCGGCTCGCAGCTGACGGGAAAGGGGTTTGGGGTTGCTGGTCTCCCCGGCCACGTGGCGCCCCACGAGCTCTATCCCGGGACTGCTGGGGCGGCAGACGGCGTAGAGGACCAGTGGCCCCCGTGTTCAGCTTCTGCCCAGCACCGTGCCCAGCTCCTTCTGGCATTTGGCTTGAGAGCGCCTGCTTCTGATCACCTTGCCGCGCCTGTCAAAGCCCCCGCCCACATTCTGGCGTTTTATGTCTTCTGGGGCACCATGGCCCTCTCTGGATCCCTCCGGTATGTAAGTGCAGCGCTAAAAAGGCCTGGCGGCGGGTGGGCGAGCGTCCGCTGCGGTTACGGTAAAGGAGAGACGTTGGGAAGCACACGATGGGCTTTAATCAACTTTCTAGTCAACATTTCCCAGTGTTGAATGGCTCAGTGGCTTCCATTTGGTCCAGAGCTTACAAACAAATGGACGGAATAAGACACAGCTGTATTCAAGAAGTGTGCTGCTGTGCGCTGAGGTCCTGCTCTCGCGCCCAAGGTGAGGCCGTTTCCACCTGCAGCGTGGGCAGGCGAGACCTGGGGGCGGAGGGGGGGTGTTTCAGAAAACCTACAGCCTGAGTTTCCTTTTCAACTCTACCCTTTGGGGTTCAAAACGATGGCTTCTCCCAGTGTGGGAATAATAAAAAAAGTGCCCCCTTCCCGGCACACAGGGCTGCGGGAGGAAGGTGACACCTCCGCCTGTCCACAGAGCTGCCAGTTTCCTGTCCAGGCAGAGGGGATTTCTCCTCGTCTGCCTGGAAATAACCGCAGAGTGACCCCTCATGTGAGACCGAGGGGGCTTTGCCGCAAGCACGGGCTTCTCAGAGGTGGAGGCAAGGGCCCTCCTCCTGTTTCTTCCCTTTCTTCCTCAACAGTCTGCAGGAGACATGGGGGGCTGACAGCTGTGCTTTGTTCAAGGACTTTCAACCTGGTGGGGGTGGGGTGGGAGCAGCCCGAGAGGGGTTCACGCAGGAGTGGACCTTTGAACTGCGCCTTGAAGGACGAGCAGGCAGTTGCCAGAAAGATCAGAAAGCAAGGCCTGGCTAGGAGGAGGGACCCGGAGGTGCAAAGGTGGCAGGCTGGTAGTAGTAACAAAGAACAAGCCCGTTTGACCGGCTGGAACGTGGGCACCTCGGAGGAGGGGCCTAGATAAGGCTGGGTCGCTGGAGGGCCTGGGGTGACAGTGAAGGCAGGGCTAGGGGGAAGGAATTTGTACCTTCTGTGGCAGGCCTTAACCTGGGGAGTTCGGCCCTGGGGTGGGGTGGGGGGAGGCTGTTGGGGTTCCAGAAAAAAAGGCCATGCTGGCAGGGGTGGTGAGGGCAGAGTGGGCCAAGGGGGACCTAAGCTCAGGTCCCAAGGCCGGGACCAAAGCAGGGTTGGGTTCCAGCCACATTGAGGAAAAATGTGGGAAAGGGAGGGGAAGATTCCCTGTCCTCAGGGCACCAGGCTGAGGTCCCTGACTTAGAAGCTGCTGTCAGACCCACTTATTCTAGCTTTTCCTGGGAGACCCGAGAGGCTACCTCCCGGAGGAGGAAGCTGTGAGTGGTCCCTGGGTGGGTAGGCTGAGGAAGCACTTGGGCAAGGCAACCAGAGGAGTGCCCCAAGCCCGGAAACAGGAATTGACTAAAGAAACTGGACGAACCTCAGGCTGGTGGAGCCATTTTCCATGGCAGTGTGTGTGTGTGTGTGTGTGTGTGTGTGTGTGTGTGTGTGTGTGTTGGAGGGATGGGGGAGCATAGCTTGCTGATACTCCAGGTGTGTGTGTGTGTGTGTGTGTTGGAGGGATGGGGGAATAGCTTGCTGATACTCCAGGTGTGTGTGTGTGTGTGTGTGTGTTTTGGAGGGATGGGGGAGCATAGCTTGCTGATACTCCAGGTGTGTGTGTGTGTGTGTTGGAGGGATGGGGGAGCATAGCTTGCTGATACTCCAGGCAGTCAGTGCAGGGCTGGAGAAATAGAGTCAGTGGGATTCTTTGTCTTGGGCTCAGGGGAGGCAGAGCCTGTGATCATAGACCCTTGTAAATCTGTCTCTGACAAGCTTTAAGAACTCTTCTTTTTGCCTTTCATTGGTGGCAACTTGGAGGTCTTAGAGAGGACACTCAGACACAATTTGCTGAGCAAGGCCACCGAGCTGGGGACGGGGCTGTCAGCTCACCAGAAGCTAGGGAGAGAAAGTGGGCCACATGGAAGGTCCCCAACCAATCCAGCCTCAGGTTTTATCTTTTACAAAGGAGAAAATCAGTAACAGACATGACTTTGCATTCAGTTACAGGAGGGAGGCTCCAGAAAGGTCTGAGGAGGCAGCTGCTGAGCTGGGGAGGGGCAGGCCAGGTAGAGAGCCAAGACTGCTCCACGAAGAGCCATCCTGTGTTCTTTCTGCTCCAGGATGAACTCTGTTCTGCTCCAGGAACTCTGTTCCAGAGTTAGTCCCAATGCTAACCTTTTGCAGAGCCACACACGGCCTTGGGAAGTTTTGTTGTACCCTGATTCAGTCTCTCGAAGGCCCACCTGGGACACAAGTGCATTCTAACCTCAGTTTGAAAACCAGTCACATTCTGAAGAGCAAAAAACAGAGCTATGTTTTTCGTTAGCTCTTCTAATTGTCTAATCTTATCTTTAATGTGTGGGCATAAGCTTGGTCACTCAGAAGCAGGACTCATTCAGATAAAAGCCCAGAGCTAGGATTTTCTGCTCTGTGGTGTGTGTGTGTGTGTGTGTGTATGAGAGAGAGAATCTTATATCTAATACAATTTCAATACGAATACTCTAGATCATTCTAAAGTGGAGGGGGGAGCCGAACAAAAATCTCTCACTGCCACCAAGTGGATGCCGACTCAGAGCAA